ACTTGTCTTTCTCCACCTGGCTTATTTCACTGAGCATACCACCCTCTAGCTCCATCCATGTTGTTGCAAATGGTAGGATTTGTTTTCTTATGGCTGAATAACTTAGGGTAATTTTAAAAATAAAAATACTGTTCAGTGATGAGCCTCTGTGGTTCATTTTATGTCTTACAAGGTATAAATTGTTTAGGTTTTGTTAATCATTATTTTTTTCCTAGAGTTTACTGGCTTATTTTCTAGGTGTGAATCTCTAATTTCTTCCCAAAGTCTCCAGCCTTTTGTACTAGTTTTTACATTTTTATATACCATTATGTGATCTATTCCCTTCCTTACTCTTCTGCCCAGTCTCCTTTGGCCTTTATTTCCTGCTCTCGTCTGTATTGATTTGTCATAAATTAGTAAAACAGCTCTTCTCTTCAGATCATCCTTGAAATGCCTTTTGCTTTTTTCTTTTATTGGATCACTAGGTTTCTGGATTCCATGTTTATATCTTTATTGTTTTACTTTTTTTGTTGTTGTTGTTATGATGACATCTTTCTGAGAAAGTGCATGGGAGACAAATATTTTAGACCTACCCTTTCTCTTATTGATAACTTTGTTGGATACTGGAATTTAGGTGGAAAACTGTTTTCTCTGAGAAATCTGACGGTATTCTTCCCTTGTATTCTAGCTTCCAATATTGATTTGGAGAAGTGTTAGCTATTTTTATTCCTGAGCTTTTCCTTGTCACTATTTTCTCTTTCCCTAAAAGCTCTCTTACCATCTTTATCCTAACTTGGCTTCACAAATTTCATGATGATATGTGTTCTGATGGGTTTTTCAGTTCTGAATTTTTTTGGTTCTTTCATCATTTCCTCACTTCCATACTTTGATTTTGTCTGCTTGAAATATTTTTAGTCAGATATTGTTACCTCCTTGATTGATGGTATACTTTTCATTTTCTCCCCATTGTCTTCCTTTGTTTATTCTACTTTCTAGGAGATTTCTGCACTTTTACCATCTGAACCTTGTATTGAATTTGACAAATTGTGGTAATTTTGTTTTTTAAGTTGTGAATGGTACATATGGAAAAGTTATATAATGTGTGATTTGAGCACAAATGGCTCTTCTTGATAATAAAATGCATGTTTTAATAATATTCTGTCCTTATTTTCAGTAATTCAGTATCTTTTATGTCTGTGAGGATATAAATTAATGTTTTCTTGCTACATTTTATATACTTCCATTGAATTTCTTTTTACTGTTTGTTTTGATCTGCCCTTGGTGGTGTAGCTTTTTCTCTCAAGTTTTACTATCCTTGATTATACTTTTTGTGGTTGAGGGAGGGGCACTGGAAAATGGATTGGGAGTTTTGTGTGAATGGGGCATCTTAGATGCTGGCCGATGCTGTATGATGGTAAAATGGGGAGCAGGCTTTATTACTAAGATCTAATATTGTTCACAATCTTTGGCCATGAAATACGCTATTCTGGTTGTTGGGCAGGTAAAGACAGGTACTTGGGGAGGTTCACCATTCAGTCAGTCATAATTTCACTTCTCTTGCTTCCATTTTCTTATTCCATCCCTGCTTTCTTCAGTTTGTGGTGTTCCTGAGTTTATTTTGTTCACTTAATGTCCAGGAAAAAATTGTTTCCTGGGTCAGGTAGGAATGGTATTTGTCTGTCTGGGCTGGGGATCTGCAGTTCATAACTGTACCTTCCATTTAGTCCTCCTTTTTCTGCCCCATGCTTCCTCTTTANGTAGGAATGGTATTTGTCTGTCTGGGCTGGGGATCTGCAGTTCATAACTGTACCTTCCATTTAGTCCTCCTTTTTCTGCCCCATGCTTCCTCTTTACCTGCAGAAGTATCTGATGATTGATAAAGATTTTTAAACTGGAGGTGGCCTTAGAGGTAAAATGCCTTTATTTTGCCCCTGAAAAAACCGACCTGATGTATCATTTATCTATTTCTATGTAATAGATTATTCTTAAAACAGTGTCTTAAGACAACAATAGACATTTATTATCCTCAGAGTTTCCGTGGACAGAATATGGAGTTGCCTTGTCACTTATGGTTTGAATTTCTCACAAAGTTTCAGTTAAGGTATTGGCCAGGTTACAGTCATCTGAAGCTCTATTTGGGGTTGGAGGAACTGCTTCCAAGTTGTTTCACTTACAAGGTAGGCAAGTTGGTGCTTGTCATAAGTTACTGGAGGCCTCAGTTTTTTCTCATTTGACCTCTCCAAGAGCTTCTTAAGTGCTTTACAACATGGTACCTGGCTCTCCCCAGAGGGAGTGATCCAGAAGAGGCAAAGCAGAAGTGGCAGTGTCTTTTATGACCTAGTCACAGATGTTACAAACTGTCATTTCTGCCTCATTCCATTCATTGGAAGCCAGTCATTACGTCCGGTCCACATTCAAGGAAGGAAAACTGGCTTCACCTTTTAAAGGGAAGAGTATTTTAAAGAATTTGTGGCTATACTTCATATCTGGTATACCTGGCAAAATGAAATTATTTCTACATGGTTATGCAGGGAGTTGCTGATCTGTTTGGACTACCATATAGTTGTTTTGGTTTGTTTTGATAATATAAGTCAGCATGAATTGTAAGTAATAGTTTCTTAACTTTTATCCATCATTGGATAGAATTGCTAATGTAACCTGGTAATGTGGGTATTACTTATTAATTGTGTCACTAGACCCTGTTGATTATCCACAATATACCAGACATTATGCTAATACTATGTTTAAGAGTACTAAGTTTGTATATTATAATTACAGACTGTCTCATTTATACTAATGTGTGTGTGTGTGTGTGTGTGTGTGTGTGTGGTATTCTAAATGCTTTTGATTTGCCAAATAGAGTAAGAATGCCCCACCCAAATAGCCTTTAAGCAAATTACTAATCTTAGTTTTTTATTAGTTGACAAATTATTCATTTTAATTGTTTACCAGTAACTTTTGTATTAGTTGGCAATGAAACTCCTTATGTGAAATAACCAGTTCCCTTTACCAATAAGGTATTTTATTATAGCCAGTTCCCTGATACTCACACAACTGAGTACTCAGTATTTAAAGAAGCAAAAGTATTTGCCACAATTCTTGTTTTTAAATATTTTTTGTGTGGAAGTGCCAGTAAATACATAAATTAAAGGATGACAGCTGTCAACCTAATATGGTGACTTTTTACTAACTAAAAATATCAGTTTTTAGTGTGATGCCATCTTTGTACGTTATTATGGTACTACCCCATCAGGAATGAGGAAATAAAAACTGCTTGGAAGAAAAAGCTAGTATTTGCTTATTTTTTTTTGTATTACTTATTAGAAAGATAGAATTTTTTGCCTCTCTAGGAAGCATTAATTATTGAAATTTTTTTCTCTTACAGGCAATGTCTGTGCTGCTTCAAGGAATATAAGCATTTGGAGATTTTTAACCAAGTAGTGTGTGCACTTATTAACTTAGTGATTGCCCAGGTTCAAGTGCTCCGGGACCAGCTTTGCAAACATTGTACTACTATTAACATAGATTCCACGTGGCAAGACGAAAGTAATCACGCGGAAGAACCACTGAGTATAGAAAGAGAGTGTAATGAAGGAAGTACAGAGAGGCAAAAGTCAGTAGAAAAAAAATCAAACTCTGCAAGAATTTGTAATCTGACTGAGGAGGAATCTTCAAAGAGTTCTGATTTGTTTAGTTTATGGACTACAGAAGAGAAGGAAAAACTCTTACTGTGTGTGGCAAAAATTTTTCAAATTCAGTTTCCTTTATATACTGCTTATAAGCATAATACTCACCCTACTATAGAGGTATGTAAAAATAGGTATAAATTTTAACTAATACTAAGTTATAGTCATGTTGGCAGTTTCTCAGTAAATATGAAGACAGAGCTATTGCTGATGGAAAATTTGATAAAAATCACTATTTTCATTATAAAAAGTATCCTAGTTTTCTCCAGACCATTTCTTTAAAACTTATGTCAGCGTAATCCTATCAAGATTTATAAATTGAACTCATAAAAATTAAGCTGTCAGTGATCTAAACATTTTGCTGGTGTAGATCTATACTCTGCTTACTGTAACTTGCAAAAAGTAATGATTGAAAACATGTAGTATTTCATTCTTAGAAATATAGTTGACAGGATTTGGAATTTTCTTTGTTAAGGAAAAGCTTAAATTTAACTACTACTTTTAAATAATAGTATTTTCTTTTGTAAGTCAACATGCTTGACTCACTCTATTGGTAATATTTTTATAAGCCTTTCCAAGAGTTATTTTAATAACCCACATTAAGTTTCTTTAGATAATGGCATTTCTTTATGTAGTAGGAATTGAGATAGTTATGTGGAAATGTATTAGTGGCTTAAAACAACAGTGAGTTATTATTCCTCATGATTCTGTGGGTTGGCTGGGCAGTTTCTTTGCTGATTTTGTTTGTTTGTTTGTTTGTGGTCTTACTTAAGAATTTGCATTTACTTTGAGAGTTGTAGGGATTTGAAGGTATAAGATGTTCTCACTTAAATGTCTGACAGTTGGTGCTGGAGCTTGTCTAGGGCTCCTTGGATTTTCTCACTTGGCCTCTCATTCTCAACTAGGATAGACTGGCTTCCTTATATTGTAGTTTCGACTTTGATCCAGGAAGGCAGAAGTGGAAGCGATAAGGCCTCTTTAAGGTCCAGCCTCTGAAACAACATAGTATTCTGCTACATTCTTTTGGTTGAATCAGTTCACAAGGACAGCCTTAGATTCAAAGTGGTATGAAGTAGACTCCATCTGTGGATGGGAGGAGAGAGAAAAGGTTTCATTTCGAGTAACATTGTTTCCTATGTGTCCTGGAATGGGAAAAGTTATGGTCATTAACAAATACACCACATGCTTTTTAAAACATCTTCCTGTTTTCTCAGACTATAAACTTCATACTGACTTCTCTAAACTTCTTAATCTAGAAAAAGAATAGTCCTTTAATGAAAATATTTTCACATTGAATCGAGAATATTTAAAAACATAGCTCACGAGATGGGTATTTGCCCTATTAGAATTCTTAAGAATATTTTAAGTCAGACTGTTGTGTCTTCTAGAATTGTGTTATTTTTCCATTTAGAAAACTTCTAATGAATGTCTTACATGACATAATATATTTATAACACATCCTAAAAAATGGCAGTGTAGAATCCTCTTTTAATAAGGAGATCCTTTCATGTAAAGCTGCAAAATTTAATCTTAAGAACACCATGTGAATAGGGTTTTAAATACCTTAAATTGATAATTGAAATTTAAAATTTAAGAATTTAAAATTGGTTAAAGACCTAGATATGTGAAATTCATACAAGGTTTCTTAATAAAACCTATTTTCTCTAGTTAAAAATCTCTTAAAATAGAACTATAGCATTACTAAATATATGTAGTACCTAAAATGAATCTGCTCATCTTTTTTTTTTTTTAAGATTTTCAAAAATGTGGACATATTCACATTGTCCTATACTTTCCTATTTGGAATAAAATACCTCATTATTACTGTTCTAGAGGAACATTGTGTGTGACTGTTGGGTTGAAAGCAATGATTTTATGGGATTTTCAAGATAAAATTCTAATGAAAAATACCTTTAGATACAATAAAATATTCCTATACAGAATTCAAACCTCCTTACAGAGAATTTATATGTGCTTCTTTAATATTCTGTTCATAATGTAGTTGTTCCCCAAGTTTCTAATGTCTTAGTAATAATTTGTTGCAAATACTCTAAAATTCCAGTTTTTATCCTAGCGGCCATATAACTGTTAGCAGTCAACTGTTTCAGTGGGTCTCAGATCAAAACCTTGGTATCATACTTACATATTTGTGTTTCTTAATACACATAAACACAGGTATCTTTAGAAAACCAATACTTTGCAATGCAGTAGAGCTCACTATAGAGTCTTAATCCCACCTTTTTAAAAGGAGATAATCCATCCAGTCTTCCCTTCATTTTGTTGTGTCATCCTTTTCTGATAAAGCCTTTTAATTTTTTTGCAAGGCACAAATTGGCTAAGACTCTTTAGGAGAAGATTCAGTATTCATATGTTAATATTTGATATCAGTGACTCTAGAAACCTAGTCGACATCCTTATTTTTTATAAAAGGGAACTGGTTTACAGAGATTTTAAGTTTTGGTCTTGTTTGCACAGCATACTGCTGAGAGGGCCCTAGAATTTAAGTCTTACTCTACCATACTTCTTGGCGATCATTTCAAACTAATCACATGTAACTGTTGTATCTATTGCCAGTAGTGAATAAGATGGGAATTTGGAGTCTTCCTTTTCCCCATCTCTTCCTCTTTTCATCCTTTCTTCCCCTAGTCTCAAAGTTCATAATATATTTAAAGCTGAAGTAATTGGAAATAAGCAATAATAATTCAGATTAAAAGTTTTTTGGGCCAGTTGAATTATTTTTTTAATTCTGAGTAATTGTATATAATTCTGTGAAATGAGGTATTCCTTAGTGTTATAAGTTTTATTCTGAATGAAAATGATACTTAAATCACTGCATTTCTATTAAATGTGTACGTATGTGTAATATCAGGTAAAGTAATTTTACACATTGTGCTTTTTTCCAAATTTTTGAATCTAGGCTGGTTTTTCCTCTTTACATTCCCCACTATCTTTTTTATTCACTCTTTTTAAAATTAAAATAATTAAATATTTTTAATTAGCCTTTTAAAAATATATGGGTTAGTAACTTTTAATATATTCCCCAAATTGTACAACTATCATTACTATCTAATTTGAACACTTGTGACTTCTTTCTAAGCAAAAATTCCATGCATAAGCTACTGGCCTTCAGTTCTTTGTGGTTTGATTATGGAGCATCGTTTGCCTAATTAGATACAGAATTACTTCCTAAAGGTTACTCACTTTATTTTCTTTGTTTCTTTTAAGGTAATAGATAAATTTTTCTGTTTACTTCTAGAAATAGAGTGGCATCATTTTATTTGGTCAGTGTCTGGTTTTGGGAAGAAACAAAAACCTAAAAATTCCCTGATAGGTTTCTTAAGGCCTTGTCAGGAATCATCTAGAATTAGAACTTCTGAAAGAAAAAGTTGATTCAGCTTTTTTAGCAAGGTTTTCTAGTTTTTTCTACATCCTTATTTTATATAAAATATTTAAGAATATTTTAAATCATACTGTGCTCTGTCTTCTAGAATTCTGTTATCTTCCCATATAGAAAACTTTTAATCAATATCTTACATGACATAATATATTAAACATCCTAAAAAATGACAGTGTAGAATCCTCTTTTAACAAAAAGGAGATCCATTCATGTAAAGGGGCCAAATTTAATTTTAAGAACATGTCAATAGTGTTGTTCGTAGTGTTGTTACCTATAGACCTATGTTAACTCTTTATATACTACTTAAAAGGACATTATAACAACGTCATAGAATACTGTCATCATATATCCAGAGTAGAAATATGAAATGGTAAAACAGTTCTTCTGAGTAGCCAAAATAGATGTAACCGGGTCCATGAGTTATATTTTGCACATCAGAATAGAATTCTGTTAGGAGATATTCTAGCTGTGTCTATGTTAGGCATAGAAATCTTAACTCCAATATAATATTCCAGCATCGGTTCATCTGTTCGATGAATCTATTTAATAATACTACAGGAGTTCTTATAGTCTGGACTTTTTCGAAGACAAAGGTTTGTTGAGAATAACTTAAAGCTATAACTGTGGGCCAGGAGGTTTAGTATACTTAGACAGGTATTTTGACCTCTCTTAGGACATTTTTTTTTTTAATGTTTTGAGAGTTTTATGTGATGCTCTCAATCAGTTGTTTTCAAACTTTTCTGTCAGCAGTGGAACTTATATGAAACAGGTAATAATAATGAATGAATGGGTCCTTGGGCAGCTGACCTTTTTCAGATGAAAGTATTTAGATTTCTGATTATAAAAGTTAACATTTTCAGTGTGACTAAAAAGTACAGAATATACAAAGTACTTAAGCCTGGAACCTCTCCTCTTCATCCATCTGCTCCTACAAAAAACAAAAAACACCCCAAAGCATTGTTACAAAATTAGTTAAGGTATTTTCAGACATTTAAAAAATTACGAAAATGAGATCATACTCATAAATTCTAATTTTTAAAAATGTAATACAAGATATCTTTCTATGCCTGTACATATAAACCCACCTTATTTTTATAAACAGCTTTTCAAAGGTATGACTTAACATACTATAAAAATCACTTAAGTGTATAATTTATTCTTAGCAAATTTTTAGAGTTGTGCAACAATTAACCACATTTCAATTTCAGAATAGTTCCATCATCCCCCAAAAATCCCTCTTGCTATATATTTCACCTTACAAACATATAGGTCTTGAAGGCTGCATAAGACCCTGGATGGTTATGCCAGCATTTTTTAAGCTGTCTTACTGATGGATATGTAAGTTGTTCCTAATTTTGAGATGTTACAAATAATTTGAATGTATTATACATATACATTATTATACATATTTTTTTACAGCATTTCTTTTATTAGTTGTTCAGGATAAATAACCAGAAGATGAATTGGGTCAAAGGGAATGTGCATTTTAAATGTTGATAGATACTGACAAATGGCCCTCCAGCAAGGTCATACAAACTTATGCTCTCACCACTGTATGAATGGGACTCTCAGGTAGTTTAAATCTTACATATGGAAAGCACATTATGGAACTTCTGAGTATTCCTCTAGGGAATTCCAGAGCACAGTTTCAAAACCACTTAACTAAGTTACAATTTTATTTTTAAGGTATCATCGATGCACAATCTTAATGCTCAGGTTTCACATGAGCAACACTGTGGTTACTACATTCCCCCCTGTTATCAAGTCCTCATCACATACCCCATTATAGTCACTGTCCATCAGTATAGTAAGATGCTGTAGTCACTACTTGTCTTGTCTGTGCTATACTTCCTTCCCCATGCCTCCCCCATATTATGTGTGCCAATCATAATACCCCTTAATCCCTTATCCCTGTCTAATTATAATGTATTTTTATAAGAATTACACTAGTTCTTTAATGAAAGGTTTTTGAGAAGGCAAAATAATATGTCATATGTAGTATAGAAAGACTGTTTTTGGAGAAGAGTTAAAATATACTTTAGAACTGAATCATATTTGCTATTGCTAGGAATACCACTATTGATGAGAAGCAAATGTAAACTCTTGAGTTTTCATAAAATCAGTTTTCAGAAAGTTGTATTTTTAAAAGATTGTCATTTAGTAGTGTGGCCTAATTGTATTTTACTTTTTTTTTTAATCAGGACATATCAACCCAAGAAAGCAACATATTAGGGGCGTTCTGTGATATGAATGTAAGTGTTTATCATTCTCAGGTGTTTGAAGTTTTTTTTTTTGTTCATATGTGTTTTGAGTCTATTTTTATGTCTGATTTGTATCTAGGATTGCTTAATAAGTTATTTCTGATAATACTAAAAATAACATTTCCTTTTTTCTTCAGGATGTAGAAGTACCATTGCATTTGCTTCGTTATGTATGTTTGTTTTGTGGGAAAAATGGCCTTTCTCTCATGAAGGATTGTTTTGAATTTGGAACTCCTGAAACTTTGCCATTTCTTATAGCACATGCATTTATTACAGTTGTATCTAATGTAAGTATTGTTTGGAATTGGTTTTAATATTGGAAATAATGTTTATTATTTTAATAAATAATTTTATGCCCAGAAAAGTCAAATTTTGAGTGATTTGCATGTACATTACTATTTTTATATGGATTATATTTTGAAAAAATCAAGTATGGAAACCTGTAAAAAAAAGTTTGTTATAACAAAATTGGAATTTGTGTAAGTTAATATAAGTTAAATAAATTTAGCCATTTACTGCTTTTGTATAAAATACAAGCTAGATATCTAAGCAAAAAATTCTCACGTTGATGTTACTTTCCTTATCTGGGATTTTGTACTGAGAAATTTTTGGATTCTTAGTTTTTTGTTAATTAAATGATGGCTAGCCTAGGGTCATACTATAGTGTGCCTGACTTCCCTCTATGTTATAAGTAAAGACCTAACATTTCTTTTTGCTTCTGTAAAGGAGATAATTCTTATGTATGTTGTGAATGTCATTACTATGAAGTACAATACATAATGGAAGCAGAGAAAAATACATTTTACTGCCTATATATAAAATTCAGCCTTTACTAACCTATTTAGCACAGTTTCAAAACCACTTAACTAAGTTACAATTTTATTTTTAAGGTATCATCGATGCACAATCTTAATGCTCAGGTTTCACATGAGCAACACTGTGGTTACTACATTCCCCCCTGTTATCAAGTCCTCATCACATACCCCATTATAGTCACTGTCCATCAGTATAGTAAGATGCTGTAGTCACTACTTGTCTTGTCTGTGCTATACTTCCTTCCCCATGCCTCCCCCATATTATGTGTGCCAATCATAATACCCCTTAATCCCTTATCCCTGTCTAATTATAATGTATTTTTATAAGAATTACACTAGTTCTTTAATGAAAGGTTTTTGAGAAGGCAAAATAATATGTCATATGTAGTATAGAAAGACTGTTTTTGGAGAAGAGTTAAAATATACTTTAGAACTGAATCATATTTGCTATTGCTAGGAATACCACTATTGATGAGAAGCAAATGTAAACTCTTGAGTTTTCATAAAATCAGTTTTCAGAAAGTTGTATTTTTAAAAGATTGTCATTTAGTAGTGTGGCCTAATTGTATTTTACTTTTTTTTTTAATCAGGACATATCAACCCAAGAAAGCAACATATTAGGGGCGTTCTGTGATATGAATGTAAGTGTTTATCATTCTCAGGTGTTTGAAGTTTTTTTTTTTGTTCATATGTGTTTTGAGTCTATTTTTATGTCTGATTTGTATCTAGGATTGCTTAATAAGTTATTTCTGATAATACTAAAAATAACATTTCCTTTTTTCTTCAGGATGTAGAAGTACCATTGCATTTGCTTCGTTATGTATGTTTGTTTTGTGGGAAAAATGGCCTTTCTCTCATGAAGGATTGTTTTGAATTTGGAACTCCTGAAACTTTGCCATTTCTTATAGCACATGCATTTATTACAGTTGTATCTAATGTAAGTATTGTTTGGAATTGGTTTTAATATTGGAAATAATGTTTATTATTTTAATAAATAATTTTATGCCCAGAAAAGTCAAATTTTGAGTGATTTGCATGTACATTACTATTTTTATATGGATTATATTTTGAAAAAATCAAGTATGGAAACCTGTAAAAAAAAGTTTGTTATAACAAAATTGGAATTTGTGTAAGTTAATATAAGTTAAATAAATTTAGCCATTTACTGCTTTTGTATAAAATACAAGCTAGATATCTAAGCAAAAAATTCTCACGTTGATGTTACTTTCCTTATCTGGGATTTTGTACTGAGAAATTTTTGGATTCTTAGTTTTTTGTTAATTAAATGATGGCTAGCCTAGGGTCATACTATAGTGTGCCTGACTTCCCTCTATGTTATAAGTAAAGACCTAACATTTTTTTTTGCTTCTGTAAAGGAGATAATTCTTATGTATGTTGTGAATGTCATTACTATGAAGTACAATACATAATGGAAGCAGAGAAAAATACATTTTACTGCCTATATATAAAATTCAGCCTTTACTAACCTATTCTGGTCATCATTTTTTAAAACTGGTATAGTAAAACTTAAATCTAACTTTACCAAAACTTGAATTCTTGTGGTAACTGAATTACCTTAATAAATAATTACTAACATGAAATATGTAAAGTACATATATAAAACAAAAGCAGAAGGTGAATAAAGACTCAAATAATTTTATTGCATTGTTTCAAATGATACCTACCCTCTTTGCAGTGAAGTAGTATACTGGAAAGGCCCTTGGCTTTATTCAGATTTATTGAGTGTCTGAACCTCTCCTATGTGAAATAAATGTTTTGTATTAAGGTCATTGTTATTCCCCAAATTCTTTGGTTTCTGACAGGTTCAAAATAATAGATGCAGTGGCAGTACAGCATGCAGGGTAAGAATGCAGGCTTTGGATTCACAAGTTGAATTAAAATCCTGAATCTGAGCCTCAGTTTTTTGTTTTTTGTTTTGTTATGTTATGCAGTACTTTTCATCCCCATAACTTATGTATTTTATAACTGGAAAGTTGTACCTCTTATGACCTTCACCTATATTGCCCATTCCCCTGCCCACTCCCCTCTGTCAGCCACCAATCTGTTCTCTGTGTCTGTGAGTCTTTTTGTTTTATGTGTGCGTGTGTTTCATATTCTACATGTTAATCAAAATCACACACTAGTTGTCTTTATCTGACTTATTTTACTTACTGTAATACTCTGTAGCTCCATCCACGTCGCAAATGGCACGAGCTCATTCTTTTTTATGACTGAGAATATTCTATTATGTGTATGTACCACATCTCCTATATCTGTTCATCTATGGATGGACACTTGGGTTGCATCCATATTTGGGCTATTATATATATTAATGCTTCAGTAAACATAGGAGTGCATATATCTTTTCAGATTAGTGACTTTGTTTTCTTTAGAAGGAATTGTTGTGTTGTATGGTATTTCTTTTAGTTTTTTGAGAAACCTCAATACTTCTTCCCGTAGTGGCTGCACCAGTTTACATTCTCACAGCGGTGTACAAGTGTTTTCATTTCTTCACATCCTTGTCAACACTTATTATTTCTTGTTGATATTAGCCATTCTGACTGGTGTGAGGTGATTTTTCACTGTGGTTTTGATTTTCATTTCCTTGATTTGTGATGTGGAGGATCTTATCGTGTCTACTGGCCATCTGTTTTCTTTGGAAAAATATCTGTTCAGATCTTCTGCCCATGTTTTAGTTGGGTTCTTTGTGTATCGGTGTTGAATGTATGAGTTCTTTATATATTCTGGATATTAGCCCTTATTTGAATATATTGAATTTATCACTTTCAAATATTTTCTCCCATTCAGTAGACTGCCTTTTGTTATGTTGACAGTTTCTTTTGCTGTGCTACAGAAGGTTTTTAGTTTGATGTATTGCCACTTGTTTGTTTTTGCTTTGTTACTCTTGCTTGGGGAGACATACCTAGAAAAAATTTTTTTAATGCTGATACTAGAGAATTCACTGCCTATGTTTTTCTTCCAGGTGTTTTATGTTTTCAGGTGTTATATTTAGGTCTGTTAAGGCGTTCTGAGTTTGCTTTTGTGTACGGTGTAAGACAGTGGTACATTCGTTTGCATGTAGCTGTCCAGTTTTCCCAACGCCGTTTATTGAAGAGATTGTCTTTTCCTGATTGTATGTTCTTGTGTCCTTTGTCATATATTAATTGACTATGAAGCTTTGGTTTATTTCTGGGCTGTCTACTGTGTTCCATTGATCTATATGTATTTTTGTGCCAGTACCTTATTCTTTTGATTGCTATATCTTGGTAGTGTAGTTTGAAATCAGAGAGTGTGATACCCCCAATTTTGTTCTTCTTTCTTAAGGTTGCTTTGACTATTCTAGATCTTTTGTAGTTTTATGTAAATTTTAGGTCATTTACTCTAGTTCTGTGAAAAATGCCTTTGATATTTTGATAGGGATTGTATTAAGTCTATAGATTGCTTTGGTAGTAGTATAGACATTTTAACAGTATTAATTCTTCTTATCTATGAGCATGGAATAGCTTTCTCTTTGTGTTGTCTTCAGTTTCTTGGTGGCTTAAAAGTTTCAGTGTACAAGTCTTGGTTAAATGCATTTCTAGGTATTTTATTCTTTTGATGCAGTTGTAAGTATGATTGTTTCCTTGATTTCTCTTTCATTGTAATTTTGATTGTATTATTTTTATAAGCCTGTATCACAATGAGAATGTTAAGGGCTCAGTAAATGGTAGCTTTTCTATGAAAATTTTTTCCTTTCAATGTTGACATTTTTTTCACTTGTCATTTTTTTCCCCACTAAGGTTACTTCCAGGCTTATAAATTTAAAGATTCTATAACCTGAGGTCTTACCTGCTTCCATAAAGCTTTTTCAAAGTAAACTCTTACAACTCTCTCTTACAACTCTCCTACATTAAATTCTTTCTTTCCCAGTGCCTGTTATTTTCAGATCACACACCATGCTGATGTCTGTCTTTATGCATCTATTAGTCTGTTATGATCAGAATCTGATTTTTTTTAATGCTTGCCTGACAGTCTGTATTAATGTAGTGGCAGCAGACTTCTGTTTGCTCTTCATACCCAGATTTAGTCCATTCCTCATTGTTTCCAACTTCCCAATTCAGCACTCATCACTCATTCATTTCTGAAGCATTCTGGGCAGGGTTCTTTTACAGTGCTTGACTCATTATATCATAATTATTTGTTGACCATCTATTTCTTCAGTGGTTCTTGTCTTAGTAACAATAGCTAACAATTCCTAAGTGTTCAGTATGTACCTACGAGGCAGTTTATCTTTCCTCTTTTATAACTTCACTTGTCATTTATACTTAAATTTTTAATTAATTTTTGTTTATCCTAAAGTAAAAGGTACTACTGTACCTATTTTTGTTTCCATCACCTCTAATGTGCCCTGTACATAAATGAATCTTTCAACATTTTTAAACAGTTTGTAGTATGACATTCATGCAGAAACATGCACAAAATAATATATAGCT